ATAATTGTTACCGGAACACAGGCCTATTTTTCTAAAAACGTCTCCGGTGGGATTTAAACTCTAGACCTGCCGCTTGGAGGATGACAACTTAACCACTACTCTAAGTCGCCACACCTTAAAGAAATATTAATTATAGTTAAAATTTTTGTAATTTTTGCTTGGTTACTATCTTAATAAAACAGTAACAAGACATGCCAAAATATAAAAAAAAAATAAAACTATTATTAAAACTTATTTTATAACACTTTAAAATTTCTATAAAATAACTATATAGTTACTTTATATAGTCAAACCTCTCTATAATCACACCTTCGAAATACAAAAAACATGATTATAAAGAGGTGTGACTAATATAAAGGTATTTTTTATATAGTTATAAATAATTGGTAAAGCTAAATTTGTAATTATACTAATTTTGTGACTATAGAAGAGGTGACTATAGAGAGGATTAACTGTAGTAGCTATAGTTTTGTATTTACTATATTAAATAAACACAATAGGCTCAACAATATTATACTGTATATACAATATATAGTCAAACCTCTCTATAATCACACCTTTGAAATACAAAAAACCGTAATTATAAAAAGATGTGACTAATATAAAGGCATTTTTTATATAGCTATAAATAATTGATAAAGCTAAATTTGTAATTATACTAATTTTGTAACTATAGAGGAGGTGGCTATAGAGGGGTTGACTGTATTACCCAATATTATATATCAAATACAGTATAATTTAGATAAAGCCATGAAAAGCCTAAACCAAAAATAAAATAACCCTAATACTAGTAAATTTTTAGATAGCCTATATCAAAAATATATAAAAATATATACTGTATATTGAAATAAATTGTAATTATATACAATATTGTTAATAAAAAACCAAAACAGGTTTTACTCTTAAAAAAAACAATTTTAATATATATACGTAGCATCTAATTAATAAATATAATTAATCTCGCCTTTGAAGATTAAAAAAAAAAATAAATATAATTAATTTTGGGTAGTATATATCTAATAAAACGGCTTCAAACTCAAAGCGTCACGTTCTTAAAGAACTCTTTAAAATACATAAATAACAGAGAAGTTACGTTCTTTATTTCTAGCATTTCTACGTAAAACATTTTTAATAATCTTTTGAGTCGAACCAAATACAGATACAGTATAGAACACGTAAATACACTAGTTCTGTAATTTGATTGGTCTATCGCGTGGTTACAAATAAGAATTGAAAACATCCTGTCGTTTCATTGAAATGGCATTTCAAAGTACCGGTAAGTTTGGACCTAGTACGTCTGCGAACACAGGATTTGGAATTGCAAATTCTGCGTCAAGTTCTCCTTTTAGCTTCAATGCTGCTACAACGTCGGCAGGTACTGGTTTTGGAGCTTTTGGAAATACAGCAGGTAGGTTCTGGAAACATTGTAGTATTTGATTTAGTGGGCTTGCAGTTAACTTATTCGTTCAATTTTCAATCTAGGCTTTGGAGGTGGTTTTGGTACACAAAATACCAATCCGACACCAGGTTTTGGGCTTGCAGCCAATCCACAAACAAGCACTCAATTTGGATTTGCAGGAAGCTTCTCTCAACCTTCACTGACAAGCACAAGTAACTTTGGTGCAGCAGTTCAATCACCTGCTTTTGGCCAATTTGGACTTTCGCAACAGGCCACATCAAAGCCTTTAACGTTTGGTGGTTTTGGTGCTGGTACTCAAGCCACCCAAACAGCTCTTTTTGGATTGAGTAGTGGAACACAACCCGCTCCTTCAAATATGGGACTATTTGGAACTGGTGGTGTAGGGCAGCAATCCACCTCAAATGCATTTGGAAGTATCTTTGGTGTAGGATCACAATCAACCGCACCAATTGGTGGAAATGTTGGGCGATCCATGTTGCCGGTAGCGTCGATGGGTAAGATAATGCGTAATTTTAAGGATGCCGTTTAGTTATTCTATCTATATAGTTTAACTGATTGGCAGCTTTGCTTTCGCCGGTAATGTAGCAGCAGGAAGTTCTAACGTTGGGATGTCCAGTTCTTTAAACCAAGTCGGATCTACTATTATCTCACAATCACAAATATGTATGCTTATAGATATTTTATTTAATTTCTTATACGATTTATTTTATTCTAAAAAAAGTTTCATTGTAGCTCAACAATTAACACCATATGAAGAATTATCTCGACTAATTAGTGCTTGGAGTCCTGAAAGTATAGATTGTCGATTCCAAGTAATTAGTAGACGTTATTTTTGTCACATATATGTTATATTATCAATGAATTACTTTAATTTTTGTGAATTTTTTAGAGTTACTTTTATAACATGGTTCATCCAGCTGAAGTTCAATTTTATACCCCACCTCCCAGCATGTCACAGGCACTTTGGAACGAGGCCCAAGCTAATAATCCAGACAGAACAATGCAAGTCTAATTGTCAATGCAACAATTTTACATAATAATATGCTCAAATAATTTTTGTTAATAGTTTGGTTCCTGTCCGTGTCTGTGGATTTGAGGATATCAAAAAACGACTTGCTGTTCAAGAAGAAATAACAACCAAAGCTAATGTAAAATTTAAGGTATTAATAATTTGAAATTAAATATTTTCATGAATATTCGCATTATTGATTTTAACATCTAATAGGAGTATGGAGCTAAACTTGAAGATATGAAGCGTAAACATAATTTAGAAACATTAGTGAGGATAGAAGATCGTAAACGAAAACATATTGAATTGACACAGAGAGTAATTAAGGTTGGTAATGAAATATTAATTGTATTTGAGTGTATAAGTTAAATGGTTTTACTTCTATAGCTTATGAGGCGAATTCAAGTGTTGCGATTAAGTGGAACACTGATTCGATCCGATGAAGAAGCTTTAAAAGGACGATTAGAAGATATAAAGCAGCAACTGCAAAGGTCGTCGAGAAAACTTGAAACGCTCAAAACGCAATATAATGTAACAAAACTACAATGGGGGGTTCGAGAACCTCCAGTGACTCATAAATTTAATGCAGTAAATGATAACCAATTAGAGAACATTATAAAGGTAGACCCTCTTTTTTCTTTTTGGTTACCTGAACCATCAGTAACCGTCTCACTTTGGTTGTCATACTTAGGTGCTTGACACTGAACAAACAGGAATAGTTCATGATATTGAAACACTAAAGAAGGATTCAAAAGACATTGATGTTATTATTCGCCACCTTAACGATGTTCCTTAATAAACCGTGTTCGCAGTTTACAAGTCCAAAGAAAAAAAAAAGTTTTATCATGACCAATGAATGTCAGGACAATATTACATGAAAAATCGATAATTTATAGATTTTTTAATATTCATAAAAATCGTACCTATTACGGTATATATGTAAAAATTTGTGAAGTCATAAGGACGAGTTGTGACATTTATATGCTTTTTTTTTCATCATGACAACTTTTTCTTTTTTTTTCTTTTTTTTTGATGAAAACTACAAAAAAGCACTCAATTTGGATTTGCAGGAAGCTTCTCTCAACCTTCACTGACAAGCACAAGTAACTTTGGTGCAGCAGTTC